GTGCTCAATGAATACCCTTGGATGAATGTGAGGTTCACCTTAGAACCAGGAAACAAGAGTGACTGGGATTGAAAGCTGACGCTGAGAGTTTGGGCCTACAACTATGTCCCCCAGCAGGTGGCCTGGGGGCTGCAGCACCCAGGGTGTCCCCCACCTTCCCAGCACTGACATCCAGAGACTCAACTCACCGTCAGCGGGCAGGGCGTCTCTGCAGTGTCCTGGGAGGGGGAGGAGGAGGAGGAGGAAGAGGAAGGGGTGAGTGAGCCTATAGCAAAGAGAGAGGGAGAGAGTGAGTTGCCTGCCCCTCACCCCAGCCCCCGACACTTCCCATGCCTCCACTCTCAGCTCCCCAGAGTGGAGCCCACCTCCCGCTCCACTCACCTCGACCGAGCGCCGCCAGCGCGGCCAACAGGCTCTTTTGGAACTCATCAGCCTCTGCAGGACTCTGGAATGTCAGCCCAAACTTGCAGTCACCCAGACTCCAGTGGTGGAAGATGGGATTCACCTTGTTGTACACCAGGCCTGGCCTCAAGGGACACTCCAAGGTAGTCTGAGAGGCAGGAGGGGTGTGGTCAGCCCCCTGCAGCTGGCTGCACCTGCGCCTTCCCCTCTACCTGCTGCCCTCTGCACATCCAGCCCCTCAAACCCCACTTCCAGCGCTCCCCAGCTCCCGGCCCCTGCTGGGGCTGCAGTGGAGAACCCACTGCTTCTGGCTGCACCACTGACACCCCAATCATGCTCCCCTCATCCTTATATGTTCGTAATACCCCAGTAGGAACGCGCACCTTAAAGAATGCCTCAAAATGTTGCTCATCCTTTTCCGATAATCCACCTTCTAACTCAGTAACACTTCCCAGACTCTGCTGAACGTCTCAAAATCTAACTGCTAATCCTGTGCTGAGGGCCCAGTCACCCTCAAGTCCTCACCCCACCTGCGCTAGTCAACCTCCACAGCTTCTCCCTCGGACACTGGCCAGCATTCCATGTCTTCTCACATCCTTGTCTGACATCACTGCATCTCTTCTCTTCATTCCAGATCTCCTACCCCTCCACTCTTAAACCCCCCACCCCATCCCCAGCCTCTTCAAGCTTGCTCCGGCTTCCTGCTATACCCCCAGCCCAACCTGCTACACCATCCCTCCATATGGGGTTACACATCCCCTTTCTCCTGCCAAACCCACAGATATAGAATTATCAGCCATCTCTGACACTTCCAAACGGACCCCCTCACCACCACCACCATCGAATGCCTCCAACCACTTAGGGCCGCTGGGGGCCCACTGGGGTGAGGCCTCATGGAGAAGAAGCCTGAGCAAGATGGAGCCTTGTGCAGGAAGATTCTGAGCAAAAAAGGGACATGATCCGGGTTGGCTATTGGCGTGGGACAGGGCAGGATGGGGTACGGAACAGACTGAGGTTTCAGGGTGCCAGCAGGTGCAGGGCGGGGGTGGGGGGGAGGGGGAGCCAGCAAGGAGACTGTGACAGCTCAGCAGGAGCCGGCCACACACAGGACCTGCCTCACCCCCCTGGATTCCTGCAGTTCCCAGCTCTTAGCTGCACAATTCCGTGCTCCTTCCCACAGCCCCCCTCCCCCTAGCTGGCCGTGCGCTTCCCAGGCTGAGAGACCCCCTGACCTCTCCTCTCAGGTCCAGCCCCAGCCAGCCCCTTCCACCCAGGGCCCCTCCCCTGTCCCCACACCCCAGGGTGGCTCACTTTCTGGTCCCGGAGGCGCTCCCCGTGGATGACGTAGTGCCCCTGGCGGGCCCCCCCCTCGGGCCTGGCCCCTCGGACCCGACAAACGCTCACCTGGCTGAGGCCCCCGCCCCCCACAGGCAGCCAGCCCCCACTGGAGTCATCTCGGGCCATCACCACGGCTCGGACCCGCACCATGTACCTGAAGGTTGGGGGAGGACAGTGACAACGGTCAGTGAATTCGGGGGCTGCAGTCCCTGCAGGGCTGCCCCCTCCCTACACTGAGCCTCATGTCCCTCCACCTCCATCTCCCACCCAGATCCCCTGGACCCTGAGGGAGCCATACAACACCCACCTGCCCTGCAAAGCTGCGTGCTGCCACGCCACCTCGATTCTCTCATGGCCTCCCTCCTGCTCACGTCCACCTTTTCAGATGCCCCCCCCCGCCTTCCCCCCTCTCCCTGCCTCTCCCACCCTCATCCCTCAAAGCCCTGGTTTTCCTCCTCCCCTCCGCCTGTTCCTGCTGCTCTCCTCCCCAGCTCAGCACCTACCCACAGCCCCACCCATCGTTCCCCCACAGCTGGATGCCTGCGCACATGCATTTTTTCCGGGCCCCATCCATTCATATCCAGTGCCCCCCAGCAACTGCCTCTGCACCCTTTGGCCCAGGCCACTGGCTGGGTGAGAAACCCTGACTCTCCCCTCCCCACCACCACCACCCCTTCCCGGATTTATGAATGAGACCGGATGCAAAGCTCACTGAGTCACCCAGCAACGGGGAGATAGGCAGGGAGCAGGGAGAGAACCAGAAATGGCCAGAAAGACAGGGCCGAGAAAGAGATGGAGGCAGAAGAAGCCAGACACGGGCGGACCGAGACACATCCAGGGAGCGTTTCATTCACAAAAAAAAAAAAAACCCAGGCTGCTCCTTCAAGGTCCCAGCCAAGGAAGGCGAGGGGGAGAGATGGCGGGGAGGAGACGGATCCCCCGCCCGCACGCCCGCCCGCATCCTCCAGCCCCAGCTTACCCCGCCCCCAGCTCCGGGGACGTAGCCCTCCGCCCAGGAACAGGGAGCAGCGTCCAGCCCCTCACCGCCACCCGGCACTGGGACCCTGGCGCCCCACCTCAGGGACCCGGGCCACGAGACCTAGCCCCCTCCCCCACCCGCGAGACGCTGGCTTCCTCGGCCCTATGGGAAGGGAAGGGGCGGCCGCAGCGCCCCCAGCCCCCTTTTCTCAATGGGTTGGGATTTTGTGAATGAGCAGTCACGTGACGCTGCTTCCTTTGTCCGCCCGCCTCCCCCGACAACAGGTGAAGCAGGGAAAGAGGGCAGGGGTCCCCCCGAAGGGCCTAACCGGGGTGGGGCACCGGGATTTCGGGGTGCCTGCGCTCCCCCACACACCTACGTTTCCCCGGGGGAGTGGTCGTCCGAGTTCCTCCATGGTGGGGGTCCGGCACGGAATTTTGTGAATGGGGCATCCATTCTGAAGTCCAGCACCCCCCAAACACACACACACACACACACCTCGCCGCCCGATGGAGGCTGGTCCCCCCCATGGCTGCCGCGCAGTTTGGGGGGCCCACCCCCTGGTCCTCCCAGCCAAGGTCCTCGGGGCGCCCCGAGCGGGGGTTCGGAGGCGGAGGGCGGTCCTGGCCGCCCCCTCGCCGGGCCAGGCGGCCTGTCAGCCCCCGCCCCCCGTCCCTCCTCGGCACCTGCCTGGGAGGCTGCGGCCGGGCTCCGAGCGGCGGCGACGCGGCCTCCTCCTCCTCCGGCTCGCTCGGCTCCCTCGCGGGCTCCGGCTGGAGACGGGCACCGGAGCCGGGGCCGGGGGGAGGGAGGGGAGCCTGCAAGACGAGTGGGGGGGAGGGGGCGGCCTGGGGGAGGGGTAGAGCAGGCGGGCGCCCTCGCCCGCTGGGTCCTAGAGCCCGGTTCGGGCTCCAGCGAACAGTGCCCCCCCCACCCCACGCACCCTGCCACCAGCCTCACATCTTCCAGGGACCCAAAGGGGGGGACCCCGCACTGTGCCGCTCGTCCACGTCATGGGGTCGCTGATGCTGCAAAGAGGGGACAGCGACGGGATCCGGTCTAGGGGCTCTACAGAGGCTTGCGGGTGGGGGGTGGGGGTCCAGGGTTTGCATTCCGGCTGGGTTCCAAAAGGGGTGGGACGACAAGGGGAGCCTTCGCAGGAGGGTGGGGTCGTGGGGAGACCCGAGTTAGGGGGTTTGCACCCAGAAGGAGAGCTCACGGAAGGGGTAGGTGCACGGGGCCCGGGTCTCCCGAGCGGGCTGGGACGAAGGGAGTGGAGCGTCTTGGGGAAGGGGTTGCCAGGTCCCAAACAAGCGGAGCTGGGAAATCCTTAAATTTGTCTTTGGGGTAAGGGTACCAGAGGGGGCGCCCCCCCAGCTACGCGGCGGGGTTCGGAAGGGGCGGGGCCTGGGCGGGAATAACGGAGAGGGGCGGAGCCAAGGGGAACGTTCCGGAGGGGTGGGGCAGAGGACGAGCAGGCCCGGGGGCCGCCCAGAAAAAACCTCTGCAGATCCGAAAGGGAGACCCGGGTCCGCCAGGGGCTGGGCTGCAGCGGGCCCCCATGAGGGCGGGGCTCGAGCCCGGAGGCGGGGCCTCGAACTCACCGTCTCGTCCACTAGCCTTCACCCGCATCTCCGTTCTTTTCGGTTATTTTCTGCTACGGCCGTTCCCCGCCCTGCCCTGGGCCCAGGGGGTCGCGGTCTGAACTTGGGTCGGCTGGAGGAGCCGGTGAGTGGGGGGTCTCCCAGGGCGTTAGGGCGCACCTGGAGCGGGGCTTGGGGAGGAGGGTGGGACCTGGGTGTGGAGCCCGGCTGGGGGAATGCAGATGGGGAGGAAGGACCCCGAGAAGGTAGCAGGGGGTCCGTGACGGCCACGGCAGAGGGCCGGGGGGGTGGGCACACGGTGCTGCGAGGCATGTCCTGCACAGGCCCACCTGGTGGTGCTCGCCGGGCAGAGGCGGGACAAGTGCCGAGAGAGGCGGGGATGGAGGCGGGGACGAGGCGGCGGCTCCGGGGCCTCGGGGAGCAGCGTTAGAGGCCAGGGAGGGAGACGGGAGCTCGCGGTAGGCTTTTTGTAGGCCACTCAGCGCCCCCGTCGCCAGCGCTTACGGTTCTAAGACTGACAGGAAGGCAAGCCTAGGGGACCTAGGATGGGCCGAGCGAGGGCCGAGAAGTGGTTTGCGGAACCGGGCTCACGGGGCAGGCAGGGGGTCTAAGATAGCTGCACAGCCTCCCTGCGGAGGACCCAGGAGGGGGTTAGAGACCCAGGGCCTCGGAGTGGGGCCAGGCAGGCATGGAGGTGGTACAGGTACAAGCCAGCCTTGTGGGGTACCCCCCATCCCATCCCATCCAGTCCTGGACCACTCATGGGCGCTGGTCTGTTCTGACCACAGCCCTCGGACCTCAGTCAGAAATGGGGAACGTGCAATCGGAGCCGTCCGCTGGCGGTGGCTCCCGAAAACAGCAGGCCTCAGACTGCAGGCGGCCGTCCCTGGTGGAGCCCGAGGTGACCCCTTCCTCTCCAGCCATGCGCCTGGCTCGGGGGCTGGGCGTCTGGTTCCCTGGCAGCTCCGCGCCCCCCGGCCTTCTGGTGCCCCCAGAACCCCAGGCCTCACCCTCGCCCCTGACCTTAGAACTGCCCACACCAGCGGCATCCTCTCCAGAAGTGCCGGCTGTGCCCGGGGTCTCCACACCACCCCCGCCCCCTGTGGGTACCCTGCTGTCCGCGCCGTCTAAGTGGCGGAAACTCCCGGGCACGCCGGTGCCCCGCATCCGCGGCCTGCTGGAGGCCAGCCACTGCGGCCAAGGGGATCCCGTGAGCCTACGGCCAATCCCGGTGCTGCCGCGACAACTATCGGAAAAGGACCCCGTTCCGAGGCCGCCCTCCCCAATGCCGCCACCCCTCAAACCGTGGAAGCTGCCGCCACCGCCGCTACCGCTTTCCAACCGGCAACCCCTGGATCGCAGCATCATTCCTGCTCTGGCCACTGTCACACCTTCCGCACCTGCCACAGTCCCCGCCGCCACCGCCACCGAAAGCCCTGCCTGGCCCTGCAGCGAGGGCCCGATGGCCGGTGGCGGGACCCGCGGAGAGCCACCTGCCCAAGTGGAGGAAAGCGAAAAGACCGGGAACGCGAACTCCGAGTCTGGCCTGAACCTGCTTTGCAAAGTTGTCTTCAAGCCGGGCAGCCAACTGCCTGCCGGGGCACCCTCAGCCTCCTCGAGCCCTTCCAGCCCCTCAAGCCCCTCCAGCCCCTCGACCCCCTCAGCGGCCTCGGCCTCACCCACGGGTGGAGCCAGCGGTGGACTGGTCGCTGCCTCGGGGCCTGTCTCCTACGCCGAGGTCCTGAAGCAGAGGCCCCTGGCTCCTGGCACCTCGCGTACGTTGGGAGAGGTCCCTCAGGGTGCACAAGAAACCGAGGGCGGTAATGGAGATGGCGAAGTGTGTCCCGGGCCTCCCTCGGGGCCTGCCGCCCACGCACGGACCCTACCGCCACCGCCCTACACTACCTTCCCAGGCTCGCAGCCCAAATTCGACTGGTTGAGCCCTCCGGACGGCCCCGAACGCCACTTCCGCTTCAACGGGGCTGTCGGAGGCGTCGGGGTGCCCCGACGGCGAGCCGTGGCGCTCTCAGGGCCCTGGAGCTCCCCTCCACCTCCGCTGCGGCCGATCTATCCAGCTCCCGGGCCCCGCAGGCCCGCCCCTGCCCTGCTGGCGCCGCCCATGTTCATCTTCCCGGCGCCCACCAATGGCGAGCCCGTGCGCCCCGTGCGCCCCGTGCGCCCGGTGCGCCCGGTGCGCCCCGTGCCTCCGAGCCAGCCCGAGTTGCCGCCGCCGCCGCCCACGCCACCTGCCACGCCGTCGCCCGCGCCGCTGCCCCCACCGCAGCCACCAGCGCACCAGCCAAAGCCGCTGCCGGTGGTACCCCCACCCACCGCAAGTCCCGGCCCGGTGGAGTCAACCCTGGCTTCTGCCCCGGCTCCCGCGCTGCCACCTGTCTTGGCCACCGACCAGATCCCGGTCTCCTCGGCCCCGGCTCCGGTCCCGGCCGCGGTCTCGGCCCCAGCCCCGATTCCGGTTCCTGCCCTGGCTCTGGCTCCGGTCCCGGCCCCGGCTTCTGACCCAGCCCCAGCCCCGACCCCGGCCCCAGCCCCGACCCCAACCCCGGCCCCGGCTCCAGGCCCAGCCCAGGCTCCTGACCCAGCCCCGGCGGCTCCGGACCCAGCCCCAGCCCTGGCCCCGGACCCAGCCACAGCCCCAGCTGCACTTGCAGCTGCAACTCCTCCCGCGGCCGAAACTTTGCCACCCACGCCCACAGCTGCGCCCGCTCCCATCAAAACTCGCACGCGCAGGAACAAAGGTCCCCGAGCAGCCCGTGTTGTGACCCGCGAAGACGGCGCGCCTGGCGACGGTCCCCGGGAGCGGAATGTGACAGTAGCGACCAACAGTAGCGGCGGTGGCGGGGCTGCACCGTCAGGGCCAGCCAGCAAGGCCTCTGTGCACCACTGGCCGCCTTTCCAGGTGCTCAACTCTTGTCCTTGCAAGTGTTACTGCCGCCACCAGGCACGCCATCGCCGCCTGCCACGCAACGTATCTGCATGGTGAGCAGAGGTGCCAGGGTGGGGAGGGCAGGGCAGACCCTTACCAAACCTTAAGTCCTTTACAGCTCTTTGGCATCCCACCCTAGACCCTTCTCTCGGCTGCATCTGAAACCTAGCTCAGCTCCAGTCCTTCACGACCTAGAGGTGCCTCGGGCCTACACCCATCCCTGACAGGGGAGACAGCCATTTTTTTTTTTTAAGATTTATTTTTATTGTAAAGTTAGATATGCAGAGTAGGAGAGACAGAGAGGAAGATCTTCCATCAGCTGATTCACTCCCCAAGTGGCCCCAACGGCTGGAGCTGTGCTGATCTGAACCCAGGAGGTTCTTCTGGGTCTCCCAAGTGGGTGCAGGGTCCCAAGGCTGCTTTCCCGGGTCACAGGCAGAGCCGGATAGAAAGCAGGGCTGCCACATGGTATCCCAGCGCTTGCAAGGCAAGAACTTGAGCCACTAGGCTACAGCGCCAGTCCTATCTTGGCCTAACTCATTATCTGGATGCCCCAAATGACCCTGAATTTTTTCTGGAACCATCCATGAGGGAAGGAAGCTGAGCAGGCCAGACCCCGTTCCTGAGAGCACCAAGAAGGACCATGTCCTAAGCTCTTCTGGGATGCGGGAAGATGAGTCTTGTGGGAACGAAGCCGCTATAACAGACCTGGGATTCTCCAGGACACTGGGATTTCCTGACCGAGCCCCAAAGTCCAAGGCCATCCCACCCCCTCACCCCTTCCGGATGCCCCGCCATCCAGGGCACACACTGCCTCTTCACCTACCTGCCCTTATTCAATCTCCAGTTCTGATCCCCAGGGCATGATCCTAGCAACTCCTGAGGACTCCCAATCCCGGGGAGACTCAGCCCTCAGCACCTCTTCCCCAGTGGATACAGCCCTGCCGACTGACTGTACACTCCCCTCCCCCAGGCTGAGCACACCCACCAACCACCTGAGCGAGCCACCTTGGGTCGCCACCATCAAGCTGGCGGGTTCCCTGGTAGCTGGGCTGGAGCACTACGACTTGCAGGCCACCCACTCCAACTGAGCACAGTCTGATCAACACCTGCTGCCTTCCCTCCATAACAATAAAGTGACAACCTGGAAGCGGAGAGCCTGTTGGGGACCGACCGAGGGGTGGAAGGAGCCAGGAGGAGAGGTCTCCATCAGGTCTGCACCCAGAGCAGCAGTCAGTAGGAGATGGTTTCTGCACTCCAGAAAGGCAGCCTGGACAACAGCCCCTTCCCGTGGTGACCTAGAGATCTAGAAACCCCTCCGGAAAGGAACGATTGCCCCCATCTTAGAGCCGGGCGAGTCTGACCACATAATGTCAACACCTTTGAACGGTAAGGCAGGAAGGCCTGTCCAGGCTGGGGTGGGCTCGGGAGGACTGGCTGCCCACATCCTCCATCCCACAGAGGGCTCCCTCTGCTAGCCCACAGATGGCTTCATCTCACATGCCATTTTCAAAATGGTTTAATTCATTGCCAACATTTCAAAGAAATCGGGAAACTGCTCCCTTCACTGAAAAACCAATTGGCCTGGCCCGGTGTTTGCACATGTCCGTGGCTGGCTGGCAGGCCATGGTGCCGCTGTGCCCCTGTGCGAGACCCCCAAGCAGGGCCACTGGACCGAGGCTGACCATGGATAGAGGGCAAGCTCCTATGCGCAGGGCCTTCCAATTTCCCAGTTCTTCACAGATAAGCACATGGCTCCCTGCCACCACAACCGGGGAGACATGGGCCCACGAGCGAATGGGAATCCACTTTATTGGAGGCCGCAGGCCCCAGAAGGGTGTTGAGGACCACACGCTGGGCCGCACTGCGGGCCCGCACGCTCACACAATCATCTCCAGCTGCCGAGCATACTCGATGACCTGCTTGGCCAGTTCTGTGGAGGGGATGGTGGTGTCTTCCGGCTTTTGCTGCTGGCTGGCAAAGCTGTAGTAGTTGTTGGGACCCAGGACCCAGCCTCGCTGAAGGGAGGGAGGGATCAAAGGTGAGAAGGGGTGAGGCAATCACAGGGGCAGCCCTGCTACCTCCCCCACCCTGCACCAGGGCTGAGTCGATGAGTCCCACTAGCCAGGCAAGCAGCCCCCGCCCCTGGTGCCTCCAGTTCTCCACATCTGAGACACGAGTCCAATCCCAGGCTTCTCTGGGTCTGAACATCCAGTGACTGTACAACCCTCTAATGCATAAGCACGGATTAAGCCCAGGGTCCAACACGTGGCCAATCAGCTGGCAACGACAGCCCTCACTCAAATGCGAGTTCACTCTTTGTTCAGCCTGTCCTCAACTCTGCTCCTGCCACCTGGACCAGGACCACTACATGCCATGTATGAGTGTCTCTGGGGGCAAGCAAAGATGCCAGGCAGCATACCCAGGTGCAGAGACTATGCAAAGTCTCTCGCGCACAGAAGCTCACAGAAGATTCGCAACTTGGCCTAAGGGGGCACAGGTGGACTGAAAAGCTGGGCACTTTTGTCCCTGTGCCCTTCCAGGCCACCCCGCCCTGCCTCACCCTATGGCCCCTGGCCCCATGCCCCAGCACCTTCTTGGCATAGTCGGTCATCTTCTTGGGTGTGTTGAAGAAGAGGATCCGCGTGGCCTCGGTGAAGAGGATCTTCTCATACGCCTTCTCAATGCACCCAGCAATTTCATCCCTGAGGGAAGGACCAGGACTTCCTGACCCAGCCCAGCCCGGGCCCACACAGACCCTAGCCCTGCACCTCCACCAAGGCAGCTTGCAGTGGGCCCTGCCCTGCTCACAGATCAGGGCTTGGAGAGGGGACGGACCTGACCAGAGTTACAAAGCAAGCAGGGGCCACATGAGGCCCACATCTGGGTATCTGCCAGGCCCTGAATCTACCTGAGGCCATTTACGTCCCGTGTGTGGGGCCCACATGGGGAGCTCTCCAGTAACCATCCTGTTACTGCACCCACCAAGACGTGAACACCAGCAGGGAGCAAACAGTACAGTGCAGGGTGGCCAGAATGTGGGGTGGGGCAGGCTCTGGAGGAGCGGGCACCCTCAGAGGTGAGGCACAGGGGCCCCCGAACTCCTAGTGCTTCCGTACTGCTCCCGTTTCCTAAGAGAACGATTCAGCCTCCCACCTGCCACACGCCCACCCCACCTCTAGCCTTGGCTTTGCCACACACACCCTTTATAGAGTGGCTCCCACAAGGCAAATGGTTTGGCCATCTCTCTGAAACCTTGTCACCCCTTCAAGGGGACTCCTACATCATCACACCCACACACCCATGTGAAGTCATTTGTGCACCCAGCACCCAGAGGAGCTGGTGGGGCCTGGTAGCCCTGTGCTAGAGAAGGCAACTGCGGGTTCTGCCTGGGCACCCCGGTCACCTCCCTGCCCTCCATCTGCTGAGCCACATGGTGACGCCAGGCCTGGCTGTGCACACACAGCCACATACTCAGAGTCCAGAGCAAGCAGGCCCCATGTCCTGCAATCACACAGTTCAGACAAGGATAACTTGAGGTGTTAAGAGACCAAGAAACACAAACACCTGGGGTTAAGCCCCCCCAACCGCAGGGAATAAACCCTTCCCCCCCACACCTGATAGTGTCAAGCAGGATGTCAATGAAGAAGGTGTAGCTCTCAGCAGGGATGTTGCCTTTGGCCAGGAACACCTTGTTGTAACTGCCCTCCATCAGGTACTGCAGAAGCCAGGGACAGACAAGGAAGGATGGTCATCACTCCTCTGCTGGCCACCAACACTGACTGGGGGCCCTTCTGCCAGGAAACCCTCCCTGACTGACACCCCAACTCTCATTCTGCAAGCCTGCTCTGGGATGGATTCGAATTATCTGACTCTCCAGTAACTGGAAACAAATGCAGACCCACCCTGGCTCGCTACTCCACACATTCACCCAAATTATGCCACCAATTATCAACGCCCCCTCCCACCCATCCCCACAGCGAAATTCCCTGTGAGACCTCCGGTCTACAGCCTTCTTCTAACCCTCATTCTCCTGGTTCCAGAAGCACTGTCTCCTTCATGGCACCCCACGTGCAGCAGGCGTGCCCAAGGCTGGGGTCTGTCTACCACATGGCCGTGTGGCTGTGAGGCCTTCTGTGCCCGCCCTCCCCGCCTCTTCTGTTTTCCTCCACAGCCTTTCTCATCCCATGACAGACTAGCCAGGTCCCTTATTCTTGCGCTTTGCTATTGTCCCACATCCTGGCCAGACCACATCACCATGGGCTACAGCTGATCCACAGCACAGCCTGAAACCTTGTGCCCAGCACATGGCCGGAGCTCAGTGCTTGCTGGATGACTAAGGGAAGGATCCCAGGGCTGAACTCAGCCCGTTCCTCCAGGAAGCCCTCCCTGAGCCCCTCTCCCCCTCCAGTAGCAGCCTCACCTGTTCAAGGGACACTGGGTGTTTGATGTAGACGTTGGTCTGGATGTCCTTGGCAGGTAGGCGCTCCAGCTCTGTGTGGAACTCTGCCACCCGGTTCTGGGACAGCAGGAAGAGGAGGTTCAGGCCCAGCAGCTGGTGCATGTAAGCAGACTCAGGGAGCTGCTCCCTGTAGGCCAGGACAGGGGACCAAGGTCAGGAGGGGGGACCAAGGTCAGGAAGGTATGGGGATCCAGTAAGTCCACACCCCAGCTTCCAGGGACTCCGACAGCTACCCAAGTTCTCTCCTCAAAGGTGTTTATCAGATAAGGAAACCGAAGCTCAAACAGCATGAAGAAATCAACGATAAACTATAGCACAGTACAGACGGCTTAAATGAATGGGGGCTAAGTAAATTATTCAACTCAGATAAAGTGATCAGATGGTAACTTGTGTAAACACATACTGTGTAATGTGGCCAAGCACATTAATCCACTTCCTGTGATGCCAGCAACTCAGACATGTGCTGGTCCAACTCCTGCTGCTTTATTTCCGATCCAGCTCCCCGTTAATGTGCTTGGGCAGGCAGAAGAGAGTTCAAGTGCTTGGAGCCCTACACCCACGTGGGAGGCCTGGATGGAGTTCCCAGCTTGTGGCTCTGGCTTGGGGCAGCACTGACCACTGTGGCCATTTGAAGAATGGACCACAGATGGAAGAGCTGACCTGTTCCCTCCTCTCTGTTACTCTGTCTTATACAATAAGTAAATCAGAGAGTGAAAATGCAGCCACTTAAGCTACTGAATCCCATTTTGAATGCCTGGGTTCAAATCCCACTTCTACTTCCAATCCAGCTTCTTGCTAACGTATGCACTGGAAAGGCAGCCAATCATGGTTCTAGTACTTGGCCAGTTCTGGACCCTGGCTTTGGACTGGCCCAATCTGGTTGTTGTGAGCATTTAGGGAGTGAACCAATACACACATGATCCTCAATCTCTCTCTCTCTCTTCCTATCACTATGCTTTTCAACATCGCAAGCAGTGGATTAATCCAATGTGCTACAAAGCTGGCTCCCAATAATTACTCATTCCATGGGACAGGGGGTGGGAGACAGCAGAAGAAAGATCTCCCCCAGTTCAAACTGGAAATTGAGCGAGGAAGGATGAAGTTATTTGCCCAATAGCATACAATCAACAAGAGGCAGGAAGCTTCAAATCTAAGTTGGTTTGATGTCAAATTCTTAAATCATGAATCCACATAAGTGACACTTAGCTTTACATCTGACACAGAGTTCGCAGGTCCCTGCGGGGGGGCCTGGCCCTGTGGTAAGCTGTGGAGGCAGTGACCAAGGCAGTCCCTGGCTCTGGCCTGAGGCAGCTCTCAGACCAGTGGGAGGCTGGGATGGGGAAGCTCAGGCCAGGGGAGGGCAGACACGGGCAGCGGGAACCGGGTTGGGCACAGCCCTAGAGGCCTCAGGAAAAGAACTTGGTCTTCAACCCAAGCACCACTAAGAGCCAGGACAGGCTGTGAGCAGGGCAACAATGGGGTCAAACTTCAGTGTCACAAATCCTGCTGACTGCCGTGAGGGAGTGCGTCCCAGGGGACGAAGGGAGGCGGTGCAGTCATGGATCAAAGGGACACAGACTGGACAGTGGCCGAGTTGGGATCCGGCAACCTCAGTCTCAGGACTGCCCC